CGAGGATGACACACGGAGTAGGAACATATATCCAAAGTTTCAGCCCCCCAGCTTTCCTGGTTGCCGAATTGAAAGTGGGTGACAAAATGCACTCGCTTTGTGCACACACCCACAGGCAGCCTCTCGACAATATGCGTTTTTGCTGGCTGTAGCAGCGCTGTAGCGGCCCTGTAGCGCTGCTATAGCGCTGCACAGCAAAAACGCATAAAAACGAATTGTGAGCTTCCCCATTTATTAAGCTGATGCTTAGTTAAAGCTCAGAGCTCTCAGCTTACCTACGCAGCTCTACATTATTCGCCCTCAGCCTTACCTAAACATCAGCTTCATGAATGGAGAAGCCACCTACTGATGACGGGTTATTATAAGACAATTCTCACTCGCACAGACTGAGTTTTTCATGCGTTTTTTGCATCTATGTAATGTAGAAAACGCATACTGACGAAGGGTTGTCTGTTTGTGTGCGTGTGTGTTCGTTTCTACCGATTTTTCATCTCGAAACCTACAAAAGCTACGCGGCTGAAAATTTGGGAACTTAATCTACGTGCACGTGCGGGCTCCACTCCCAAAATGCGTGCTCTTATCCGCGTGGCATCCACGTATTTGCTCGTGAAAGCTTTTTTACGGGTACGTTGCTGACTCCGAAACGTGAAAAGCAAAAAAACTGAAATTTTGAGAAATTTTTCCCGTCTTCACAGATCTTAATGGGTTCCAATCCAGCCCCCGGGTGTGCATAGTCCGTGAACGTTTCTGCGGTAGGTTATTGACTCGGGAACCAGGAAAGCCAGAAGGATAAAATTTTAAGGTAGAATTCCCCATCCACGTAGACCTTAATGAGCTGTAACCCGGATACCACGTATGCGTGGTTCCCACATACGAGCTCATGAAAGTTTTCTGTGGGCAAGTCGCTAACTCGAGAGCCAGGAAAGCTAGAAAGCTAAATTTTAAGGGTATGTTTCCTGAAAGTCTTAGTTATTTTAGCTAGAAGCACCTGCCGGGAAAAACGGTGCTGTTAGCGATAACAATCTGCAGGGAACTATATAAACCCAGGCTGGGCCGGTGCGATTATGCGTTTTTGCACTTTTCGTGCTGTAGCAAGATCGCACGGAATCCCAGTAGCTAACCTGTTGGTTCTCGAATTCGGGAAGCTAATTGTGCTGCTATGTGGTATGTCAGCTGTAAATGTCGGATTCAGTAACCTGAGAAATGGAAAGTTGCTGGTCCGCAAAAAAGGCCGCACTACAGGAGTTAAATTTGAAATCTTTTGGTTACACATGAGTAGAGAACATTACCCTAAATCTTCAGCGTTCTAGTTTTTTCCCGTTCCTGGGTTAGTAATTTCGGCGCCAAAACTTCCACGCGCTCTACGTGGACTCGGGTGCTTCTAAGCATTTGATTTTGCTCGTACATGATTGAGGAACATTCCCCTAAAATTTCAGCCTTCTAGCTCTTCCCGTTCCTGGGTCAGCAATTTTCGCGCCAAAACTTTCACATATAGCGTACTTGGATCACGGGCGCCTCCAGACAACTAATTTTGGTTCTACATGAGTAGGGAACATTCCCGTAAAATTTCAGCTTTCTAGCCTTTTTCGTTCCCGAGTCAGTGATTTTCACGCCAAAATTTCCATGTGCCTATACATGGACCCAGGGCGCTTCTGAACACTTGATTTTGGTCGTGCATGAGTAGAAAACATTCCCCGAAAGTTTCAGTTTTCTAGCTTTTCCAGTTCCCGGACTAGTAATTTTCGCGCCAAAATTCCCATGTGCTCGTATGAGAGCCTGGGCGCTTCCAAACATCAGATTTTGCTCGCACATGAGTAGGGAATATTACCCTAAAGTTTCAACTCCCTAGCTTTTCCCATTCCTGGGTTAGTAATTTTCAAGCCAAAATCTTCACGTGCCCCTAGTAAGCCCCCGGTCGGTCCTAAGGAGCTGTGTTTGAAAGCTTTTGGTCGTGCGTGAATAGGAAACATTTCCCCAAAGTTTCAACTTTCTAGCTTTTCTCGTTCTTGAGTTATGAATTTTCCCGCTACAATTTTCACGTGCCCGCATGTAAACCCCGGGCAGTCCTGGCAGCTGAATTTGAAATCTTTTTGTCACACGCGACTAGGGGACATTACCTTAAGGTTTCAGCTCTCTAGCTTCTCCCGTTCCCGCGTTATCAGTTTTCCCACCAGAACTTTCATGTGTTTGTACGCGGGGCCTAGACGTGCGTGAGAGTTGACATCGCGGTCCTGGGGTGGCATTTGGCTGGGAAATACACTGGCAAAATTTCAACTTCAAAGTTTGCGTGGTTAGCGAGTTGAAATACCCGGACAGATGAACACACACACACGCACACACACACACACACGCACTGACAGGGTCGTTGCAATATGCTTTTTTGCTGCCTGTTGCAGCGCCCTAGCGCTGCACAGCAAAAACGCATAAAAATGCATCTGAAGATGGTGCGCTGGCCATTTATTTTTGTTTGTTTTTACTTTTTTTACTTTACGTTCATATTTTTCTTCTAATTTTGCTTTTATTCCTGTGCCCAGGTTTCCTTTATCTTTTTTTTTGTAGAGCTTAGCTTCCTGTTCTTTTTTACTACACTCTGCAGTTTTTGCCTCGAGCTCCTAAC